GTTCATCATTACCTATTCAACCAGTTTTAAAAAAAAATCTAGAATATTCCACCCAGACACATGTACGGTTCTATAACATTCTCAGTGACACGGTGGTAAATAAGTCGTATGCGACAGACTCATAGCGTCGTTATTATTATTATTAATTCGACTGAATTACCCCAAAGAGAAATTCTGTATGACAAATAACGAACAATTAAAAAATAATGTAAAAACAATTCTGGGTGTTAAAGATTAACATTTATTTGACACTCCAGAACAATACTACATTTGCACTATATTTGTCCTTCCAGTCTAAATGCAATAACTCTCAGAAGTTTCTCAGATGTAGGTGAATTTATAGATAAATATCCATTGAATTGAGCAAGCATCCTTAATTTTTGAGATGCTGAAATGAGCATAAATTATTAATTTTGTCGCTTCATTTAGCAATATTACCAACATCATCATTTAATAATAACCTATTTAATTATGGTACAGTAACTGTTGATGTATGGATGCTAGAATCATCAGCACGCATATCTACCTGTGAATGACTAAAATGACATAAAAAATAAAAACAAAAGGTGGTTCTAAACAGATTAATCGCCCCTTTAAAAGTTATAATACGTGATCTGTCCGTAAATTGCGATAAACATCACTGAAGGACTCGGATGGAACGTCATCGCATTGGTAGATGGATATCTTCTCACATGGTAATTAACAAAATCAAAAGTTTTGCGCAAATCCAATAAACGTACTACATAATATACTTAAAAAAACCACAATTACACATGTTTCATTTACGAGCCCGTTTTTTACATCATTCTCATGTAATCATTCTCCGAGCATCGACTTTAACGCTGTGACCTTCAAACACGCCACCAACGGCAGTGATCAGTCAAGGCTTAGCGAATACTTTGTCAATGCATGGAGGTATTATACCCCCATGGTCAATGTAATATTTACATACAATATTAAAACTCCGCCCTCCAATTTTCATGGTAAACGTCGCTTGGTGGATTAACTTAAGTGTTGGCCACTCTGAACTGTTGGGATAGATTCAAAAGAAAAAAAATATATATTCACAGAGAAAAAACAAATATTCACAAAAAATGAAGAGAACAAATCGATAATTACAACATCATTCAGATGAAAGCGAACACCAAACTTAGTAACAAAAAACCACATATTCATTTTCACAATTTGTCCAGCATATCCCTTCAAATAATCAGCTTCTTCAGACGTACGACAGTGATCTTTAAGTATTAGCAGTTCGAATTTCTAATAACAGATT